CCATTTTTTCTTTGTATCGTTTTCTTAGTATGTTTAATTTGGTGACAAGTGGAGACGTTGCAGAGACAAGGGTGGAACAAAACTGAGAAATACGGGCTGTTTCTCGGTAACTCGATTTTAACGCTTTGGGTTTCATGCTTCGCATGTGTGACTCCACTGCCTTAATTCCCATTGTTCCGAGCTTGAATGACTTCTTGCACAAAATACACTGTGCCTCATGTATGATCCCTGATACTGGTTTTAGCCATGGAGAAAACTCTTGGCTAGATAGACAATTTTCGTTACATTTACACTTGCTCATATTTTCCAGACAAAAAATTTATTGGTGCATCTCCCAAATATCCCGGCCGCAACAACTCTTTTATTGGTTCCACTATCGGGACGGAAGTAATAATGGTTCCGTCCCGAAAATAAAAAAATAATAATAATTGTCAATTTTAACGTTTTATTTAGATAGCAAAAATAAATCGTAATAAAAATAATCCTATTTATGATGTTTTAAAAATTAAGACCTACAAAAGACTAATTTAAGACATTTTAATACCAATTAAGGCCTTAGTTTTATTTTGAAGAATTCAATGCCTTTTAAGACTTTTTAAGGACCCGCGGGAACCCTGGAAAAGGTAACAATAAATCCTTTCCGCAAAAGTAACCTTAGATATCAGAAACTTAGTTATCTGCCAGGGCTGTAGAATAAAGAAATGACAACAATACAGCTCGTTGGAAAATGTAAAAGAAAACTAAAACGTTATATTTTTTTGAGAACTGATAAAAGTGGAATCTATTAATGTGGAAATGGTTAAAAAAAACATTTAAATGGCTTTAACAGTGACAGTGATAGTTGTTAACAAACAGAGAACACATGGAACATTCATGACTTTCCCAGGAGTAGTAAACTAACAAAATTATAGCAATTATAGTGAGGGTCAATATGCAACTCATTCAGGGGTCACAAAAGAACATCTAAAGCCTTCCAGGAACCACTGGTCTTACTGGAGCACAGGATTGGACAGTTTAACAAAAATTACTTCTATGTGGGTGTTTCAAGTTACAAACCAGGGCCGACCCAAAAAACCGTATAAGAACAATTCAAATGTGTCAACAAAACAAAAAAACCTAGTGATTCCCAGGATTTTTGGACAAAATCCTGGGCCACTTTTTCTAAGGATGTGAAACTATGCGTTCTGCATAAAAGTGCTACATTTAGTATGAAGAAGTGTGTCCATCTGAAGGAAAAACACAGAGATGGTAATAGGATGGTCGGGAGCTACTTTGCTGGTCTCAAATATAGACCACTTGCCAGTATTAATGAATTCTGTTGTCTGGCAGAAAATATGCCCATAAGTACAAAACCTCAGAGACAAGTGCTGTTGGGTTGTGCAGCAGAAAAGCAACCATGACTTTCCCACTTTTAAGGAGATCAGTTTATTTAAAGGTGTAGGGAAGGATGTTCTTTTTCCGAGTGGATCATAAAAATAAGTGGTCCTCTCAAGTGTAAATCATTCTGGTGATATGTTTACTAGGGATGGAACGGTTTTGTGCAACACGTTTTGTTTATGCTAACAGCAACATGACCAACATGTCATGCTAACCCCGAAATCCCACATACTCCGTCAGCGCTCTGCCCCGCTGCGCTCCAGACCGCCTGCACAAAGCAAAGCCTATAGCGTCCGCTGTGGCTCCCGTCCGCTCTGAGTTCCTTGGAGGTGGTAGAGGGCATGCGCGAGATGATTAAATTCAAAGCAGCAAAACATGTGGAAATGATCCATGGTTTCTGCTAATCATTAAAAATAATTACAATTCATACATTTTTTGGGATTTTTTTCATTAATTTCATTACAAAAAAAATGTTCATTAATTTTTATAAATTTTTATAATTTTTTTTATTTTTCGGTGTAACAATAAACATATACCGAACCGAAAACCGTGACCACGCCTAATGTTTACATAAGTCCGTCCTGCGTGTTCGTCCGCATTTTCACTAACCGGTGGTGAGTCTGACATACTGGAAAAATGGCAAATCTTCTTATGGAAAATAAGCTTGTATGAGCGACGCACACAGCAACTTTTAAACAGAGCGTGCACAAGAAGAAATTGGCTCGTGCACGCTCTCACACACGATTAATAGGTATTCTCTCTCAGGAGCGGGTACAGGGAGGTGCATGTACATCTTTTTTCTTAGGTGAGAAGGGCACGTCTTTTCAAAAATTCGCAAAAATCCTCCACTATACATTTAATAATGTATAGTGCTGGGTAAAAAAATCAATATAATCGATGTCTAGGAAATGAGATCGATTAGTTTTGTAGTAATGCACGTGACACATTCCAATGAGCAGGAAAGATGCACTCAAGATTACTTCAAGCCAGACAGCTGCAAATATACCCAATAGGTTGACTGAAGACATTAACAAATGGGGGCTGACCAGAAAACACCCTGTAGTTATTACAGACAATGGTGCAAATATGGTTTGAGCAGTGGAGATAATGCAACTCATGCATGTCTGCTGTGTACCCACTGTGTCACGGCTGCTTGTTCGATTGAGGCTTTTCCACTTTTCACAAACAAGTTTGCACTTTTGAGACAATTTTTTTCAGATCTCAAGTTTAAACTGTCTGATTTTACAAGTTTGCACTTTGTGTTTGATATGACAGGAAAAAAAATAAAATACATGAGTATTTTGAAACACAGTTGAACCACTTTCATTATTGTAAAAACAGATCGAATCGAAATTAATCAATTTAGAACGCTATGAATCAAAATAGAATAGATTCAGGATTTAAAATATAAAATAACCAGCCCAAATAATGGAAATAGTGATTTAAAATTTGTTTTGTATTTACTCAGGTTGTCATTATTCAAAAATATATATATAATTTATTGATTTTAAAGGTGTATCTAGGTCAAGATGGAACAGAAAAGAAGAAAGAAATATGTAAAAAAAAAAAAAAAAGTAGTGTGAACTGGGGGATGTGAAGCCCTGACAGACTGGATGCTTGTTCAACACTCACGCTATCTGCAGAGCTCTGGTTCCCAGCACTCTGGCCCTCTCATACTTGGTCATGTACGGTGTGGTGATCCTCTTCTGGTTTGCCTGCTGTCCCTCTCCTGCAGGGAGGATCTGCACATTCTCCTGATCCTCCTGTTTAGCGGAGAGAAAGCAGAGTCAGACTACATGGCTGTGCTAAAATGAGTCCGAGGTTAGCAACATTAGCTTCAGCGTTCATAATAATGCTTAGTTTATATCGATACTTACGTCTTCAACGTTCTCGAGGTCATCTAACCCCTCATCCTCTTCAGCGTAATCAAAATCTCCATCATCGAAGCTATATATTTAAAAACGCATGTTAGTTAACGTGCTAATCGTCGGTTAGCATCAGAATTATATCATTTACACATTTCTTTAACCATGAAGATGAATGTTTCCGGGTTTTGCTGCGTCAGTACTTACTTATCTTCATTGTCGGACATTTTTCTATTCGGAATTTGATTTTTTTAGTAGCCGATATTAGTGTTTATGTAGTTCAGGTATAATATTTGTTGTCAACATTGGCCCACATGAGCGTTACATGTAACTTCCGGTTGGCTGGTCCCACCGATAAATATTCCGTGTGCGCAAAGCGGAGGAACTTTCGAGTTCTGCTTCTTTTACTCAGTGGCCTCTACTGCCCTCTACTGGAGTTAGAAAGTTTCACAGTCTTTGTTTACACTTTCAGGTTAATCAACATAATTTCTTCTAGATAAATTTCCTTTTGATGTGATTTTTATACTAAGGGATGGATAACCTACATGGAATAATGATGATGATTTCCAAATAAACAAACACCATTTTAGTTTTCTGTTTCTTCCTTTATGTGAAGATATTTCAAATAAATATTTCCCTACATTTTTTAAGTTCAGTACTTTCTATATCCTGGCTTACCTTCCTGTGTGACCTTTGCTCAACAGTGTGAATCAAACAGAAAACAAAAAAGGTAAATTTAAGTAATTTAATTCAAAACATTACATTTATAGAGACCCCTTATTTGATTTTGACCTTTATAAGATAATTTTGATAGACTTCAAACTAAAGAAAAACACAACTTTCATTTTCAATTTAAATTATAAAATATAACAGAAAATAAATAACACAAACATTTGAGCTTAAAGCCATGACAAGACCTCAAACCTTACATTCACCCACAGTAGCTTCCCTTCATAGGAGGGTTAGGCCAAAAAGGGAGGCTTATATCTAAATCAACCAAATGAAGGCTGCAGGTTGACCAGGCAGTTAAAGGGTCAATTAAAAGCAAAAGTGTGATAGGAATAGATGCACAGGCATCAGAGACAACCATAACCATGTGAGGATTGTTAGACAAAGCCCATTAATGTGTTCTAGGGAGATTCACTAGAACTGCAGGTTGGTTAACATATCCATAACATGGGCTACAACATCAGAACTACAGAGCAGACTCAATCATTAGCTTTTATTTTGGCTTCCTTCATTCTCTGCAGATATTTGTTACCAGCTTCAGATTCAGCAGTAGTCTGGTTAAGGTAAAGGTATCTTCTTTTAAAATGAGAGCAAATGATCCTAATTATAACCTTGTTGGCTCTAAATGCTGACATAACCAAAGTAACACCTAACATAGAGATAAATATGTTTTAACAGCATCATTTTGTTAAAGATGCTATTTTTTTTTTTTTTCTTTTTATAAAGTGGATGTTTTCCCATCAGGGCTTTCAGCAATAGACTTTTTCCAAACCTCACTACATACCTCAACACAACGTTAAATCAGTGTAAAATGATGAATGTTTATCAATGTAGATCTATAAAGGCATAAAGATATGAAAACATTAAATCATAATATTTAACTGAGAACAGAAAGGCCTGATATGAAATATGAGAAGCAGATAAGGAGTAATTATGTTGCTTAATAGAAATTAATTGTAATATATGTGTTTGAGGATTAAAGAAAGGCTAAGGATCAGTTCTATGAACAAGTTCAAAAAGCAGGACAGATTTGTTTGAATCATTTGGATTCACCTTGATTTAATACAGACAATGAGCACTTTAAAAAAAAACAATGTGCAAAACAGTTAAGAAACAACACTATTAAAATGGTTTAATAACAGGACAAATTTGGTCTTTTAAAAATAGAAGTTGAAATAGGTTCAGCATATTTTTAACATACTGATGGGTTTTTTTTAATAAACACAGTTGAGATGAGTGACTTTGAACATGGGTTATTATTGTGGTCAGGCTGCTTCTTCAGCTCTTTCTCTCCACTGGCTCCTTGCCGCTCTCTGTCTTCTAGTTCAGTATCTTAAAGACTTTTGAAGCCTTGAGCTTCCCTTTAGATTTTCTCAGCTCTTTCAGTCCGTCCTGCTGAAACCCTGAGGAGAAACATCAGTTCATTAGGAGCTTCCTAATCAACAGAGTTTGCATTTCACTGTGTAAAAAGCAATTTCACTGATTATTCACCCTTGTTCCCTATGCTTTCAAAGTCTTCATCTCTTTCTCTGATGACAAAAAAAAACAACAACTGCATGTTAACTTTTTAAAATTTGCGGGATGTTAAAAAAAGATAATAATAAATAGAGGAATCCTTGTTTTCTGGTGTATACCTGTCCTGATCCAAGGTGCTGATGATCTGGTTCCTCTGTTCAATAATGGTGACCAGCTCAGCCATCAGCCGCTCCTCTCGGCTTTTGTCCTCCTGACTCCAGTCTTTTTCTGATTTAAAAAAAAAATATAATAATCCATGAAGATTCAACAAAGACCAACAAACTGATGGTATTTACTGTCAAAAGAGACAACTCTACCAGGTTTATTGAGAAGACATCTGAGCTCGTACTCCACATCTGCTTGTCTGTCCTCTAATATTTGCTGTTTAGTGCTGGAAAAAAAAAGTACAATTAAATTCCCATGTTTTGCCTCTCAGAAAATATAAATTACTCATTAATTTTGTATCATCAAATCATTCTTTGAAGAATAAAATGTATTAGAACAACATTAAATAGCAAAGCTATTAATGGTTTAGAAGAATTAATGGTTTAGAAGAATTAATGGTTTAGAAGAATTAATGGTTTTTAGTGTTATTAATAATAATAATCTGCAAATGATTCATGCTATATCATCCTCAGTCAATACCTTACAGATTTACAGTTTTATTGCAGTTGATTTTCACATCAAGTCACTAAAGGTTTTGCCGGATCTTCCTTGCAAAATAAATGTAGCAGAAAAACTGAGGAATCTCATTCTGTAAGGATGTTTTTTATGCAACACTGGTTTTTGAGGAGCAATTAATTTGGATTGTAGGCCACATTTGTAGTCTGGTCACTGTGCCGTGAACACGATAATCAGAGGTGGTGACATCTCTGAAGGATAGAACACAGTCCCTCAAAGCAGAGCAATCAGATGGCCACTGTTTGCAGCACTCAGCTGCTTCCAGTTATGATGGGCTGGTTTTCCATTGACTATCAAACCCCACTTAAAGCTGTCTGACACATGCAAAAAGGATTTTCTCTGCTGCTCAGAGCATTTTTCATACAAATATGAGACCATTTAATGAGAAAATAGTCATGAAGATGTCACTGTGATAAGACTTATAACAAAGAAGAAAAATCTGCTAAACAAACATTTCCTTAGTTTTTGTGCAATGTTTACTTCCAGCTTAAAGTTCATTCAAAGTAGCAGTTTATATTTGTTCTGACTTTGTCAAACCACAGAAACATGTGTCATTGATCACTCAGCAAAATGGATATTCTTGAAAATGCAGTAATGCATGTAAAATATTGTCATAAAGGGCATGGGGAAAAAAACAAAAAAAAAACACCAGATTTCTCTGCTCTGAAAAGCTGGAATGCTGCAAACAAACTGACAGTAAATAGCTTTCCTCTGAACCGTGGCAGCGGTTTGCCATAATTCACGGGAAAATTGGAAAAACAAAAACATTCTCTGTATGGATTCCACAAGTACTTCAGCTGCATGATAACAGAGCCGCCCTTTCAGCCACACCCAGAAAAAGAAAAGCACAGAAACCTCGAAACCAAAATTAAATTCTAACTTCATGATTCTCAATAGTTTTTTTTTTTTTTTTTTTTTTACAAATTTAGCATATATTGGTGACATTTATAATGCATTTAAAATAAATGGAAAAGATCCATTTACAGTGTATTTAATGGTGGATGGAGGACATCAGTTTCCATAGGGTTTGTCCTTTATTAAGCTCCATCTGTCTCCCATCAGCTCTAACCTCCTTCCTTATCCTTGCTGAAGTTCAGGCAGAGGGAAACATCCCGGTAGGTTTGGAATCATATCATATTCTGAGATTATCAAATGATGAAATCAAAAGAGCTCTGTGACATGTTGAAAATCTGAAATTAAAAGGAGCAGACGGTGATCGATTTCTTTACCTCCGCCAAGGAGGTTATATTTTCAGGAGAGCCTGTCTGTCTGTCTACAGGATAACTTGAAAAGTTATGGACCGATTATAATGACATTTTTACCAGAAGTGCGCCTCAGTCCAACAAACAATCCATTACATTTTGGTGATGATCCACATCATAATCTGGAAACAGGATGCTTTTAAAAGATTTGTTCACATTGTGAGATAGGGATTTATGGAGGAAAAAAGAAGTTCTGCCCTTAAACCAGAGGGTGGCAGCAGTGACTATTGACAGCTTTGGCGTCAGACTCAAAAAGTCATGATCCAGATGTTTGAGTTTTAGCTATAGGTAAGGTGACTATATTTTGACTTCTGAAAAGGAGGTCACTTTGCCCAGCCTCCAGACTGATTCAGACAGGCTTCTCAGAGGTTAATCAACATGCTTTATTATATCAAATTGGTGCAAAAATAACTTCTATAGTAAACTGAAATCTGTAACTACCAATGACAAAATGATAGCTCTTTTAAATTACATAAATAATATCAAATAATGTTCTAAATACAAAATCTTCTAAATTAGAAAATGCAGCTTCAACATATTACCTCTTTAGAGCCTCCTCCATTTTCCCAGGTCTAACAAACTCGGTCAACTTTACAGAGGAGCTCTCACCTCGAACAGCTTATAATAATATGAGTCACAATATGAGTCCAAATTTGCTGCTTAGTGGAGGTCTGCTCTCTGAGTGCTTTTCTAATATTATAGTTATTTTGGGTGGATAAACAAAACAAACAAAAAAATGCTTTTTTTTTTGCATTCAGTTCTGCACAATTTCTTGCCGTTCTATCTCAGAAGGAACAAAGAAGATTTTGCTTTCAACATGAACTTGTCTAAGATTGAACCTCTCTACTTACAGATACACCAGGTCCTTATTTCTGCGCAGCAGAATATGCTGCTCATGGACAAGAATGAACCACTCTATGAGCATCTGTTCTTCTTTACCTGAAATAAAAACAGACAGATTTGATAGAAAATATGAATCTCTCCAGAGAAACAAGGGGGAAAAAAATCCTGTTTATCCAGAAATCCTTCAGTATGGAGCGTTAGATGTTAGACGTACCCATCCTGCATTCTCTGATATTCCTCTCCAGGTCGACTCCGCGTTTTTCCAGGGCTTCCAAATGGCCGTCCAGGTTTCTGATCTGCAGCCGCAGGTCCTCCATGGAAACGCTTTGGTCTGTCCTCACCTAACGTGTAAACAGAGAGAGCATTTCAGTAGTGGAATAAATTCAGATTAAACTCCATCTTTACTGTAACTAAAAGCATCAGCGGTTTAATTAAACGTTTAGACTCTGTACCTCCCTCCTGATGAGAGGGAAGCCATGGCCAGGAGCGGGACCACGAGTGGACGACAGGTTCTGAACCGTCTGGGACCTGGGCATCTCAGATGGGTGGGCAAATGGACTTTCTTTATAGGCTGGCTGAAAAATAGAACAAAAACAATGAAAAAAAACATTTTGAAATGTAATGGCTGTTTGTTATGATGCAACTTCATATTGGATTGTTTTGACATTATCTCAATAGACATTATGGATGACAGGGAACAACTGTCAGCTAATTATCCATTTGGGTTGACCTTTTCTTCATTACGTTTTTCCCTGCACCTTTTCCTACAAAAAAAATAATTTGGGAAGACAACAAACTTTATCCAAAATGCATATAATTTTTGACAGGACCATAAGAAACAGAAGAAACCTCATGTTAGCTTTGTTCTGATATTAAAATTATATTAGCAATAGTTACCAAATCTAGATTAATCTTGGAGTGAAGATTGGGAGAGGTTTTAAAATATTTTTTCTCCTAACTAAAATGTTTACAGCTTTTACATAGTTTAGGAGAGCTCAGATAAGGATGTCAGGACTTTATAAGCTTCTGATTTGTATCTGAGTAAACTGTAAGCACTGTAGTGGATGTTTTTAAAGGCTGTACTGGTAGGAATGCACCTTTAAATATGGAGAAATTAGTCTAATAAAATACAAATAAAATGGACTCTGGGACAAAGATTTTAGCACTTTAAGCCTAAATCATGAAATGGTTGTCTGAAAATTTATTTTTTTGGGAACTTAAGTTGTCATTTGGCATTTTGACAAAAAAAACAAACACATTTTAAATAAGTCAAAGCTTTTTGCATTTCTGTGCAACTATTTATCGATTTTTTTTGTTTCACATTTTTCAAGAACTAATAGATCAAACTGATGATGTGGAGTTCTTAAAAGCTTTGTCTCAAATATGATAGATCAGGTGTTTTTGGACAGTCAAGAAACAAGATTTAAAAAAAAAAAAACACTAAAGTGGAAAGGTAATAAAAGCCGCAAAAACTAAAAATCTGTCTATGCAGAAAGATAATTTCACCTGACAACATTACTTTGACTCAAGATCATACTGTAAAAATTGGACATTTCATCTAAAAAACAATCTAAAGATTTTCATTTCATCTTTGTAACGAGTAATAAACTGGTATCAGCACCACCTTAAAAAAAGTCAACCATTAGAACATAGTCCCAGCTGTGATGCACGGTAGTGGTAGCATCATACTGCACAAGTGTTTTGCTGCTAAAGGTTCTTCTGAACTTCAAATAAAAAAATAAAATGACTTTCTCCCATTTTAGCAAATACAAACCATTTTGGTCATACTAATATACCTAAAACAAAATAAAGTTAGTTAGTCTGATTGAATGTTAGACAAACTTTACAAGCCTTTCAATACAGGAAAGTTGTCATTAAAATCTGTTTGAAACATTGGGATTACGAACTGTAACACTGCAGAATAAAACACTGTTTTGGAAAACATTTTTATAAAATATTACGCTGTGCTATAAAAAATAACATGCCAAACAGCGGAATAAAAAGCAATATAAACCTAAAAAAAAAGCTCAAACCCATGGTGTCAAAACTATTAATATTTATCAGTCAAGTAGAAATATAAATCCTACCTTTTAAAAACTTTTGTAGAAGTTACAGTATCAACTTAAGCTTTTTACTCAAGTGAAAGTGTAAAAGTACCATTTTTAAAACTACTTAAAGTATAATCGTAATGCAGGAAAATGTGAAGGACAGATGCTTTACTGCACTAGCCTATTAAAGGAACATTTTTCTACAATTCTGGACGATAACTTCCTTATGCTTTTTCCCATTAGTTTTATAACTAATAGCAACAGTGGCAATTTTAGCATTACATCATCTTGAAAAACTATTTACGATGGTAGGTGGCGAACAAGTAGGTGCAGTACAAAGTTCAACCACAAAAAAATATATTGGGTGAAAGAAAGAAAATATTTTTTGATGGTTATTATTTTTTGTAAATACCAACCTGCCATAATGGAAAAAAATTAGCTGACATAAAACAAAACTAACAAGTCTTTTTGTTTTATGTAAGGAGTAGAAAGCAGAGATTACTGCAAAAAAAACAATTATGGAGTAGAAGTAAAAATTTGTCCGAAAAATGATTACACCAGTAAAGTATAAAATGCCAAAATTTCTACTTCATTTGTTACTTTGCACCTGTGGCGTAAACACAGATTCAATTGTTTTCCTAATTATTCATGTCTCCTACCTCATGTTCACATGATGAGATGGATAGATTGGCCTCATCTAGCCCTGCAGGTGGCGAGTCGGTTTCAGAGCGCTCAGATGGGATTGCTGGCACCGACAGACTTCTGGGTAAATTGGAGCGCTGTTCTGAAGCCAACCCTGGTTCTGTTGCATCCGATGCGCCGGACGGACCGCCCTCTGTAGGTTTTTCGATGCTTCCTTCCCCCTGACCCTCGGCAGGATCAGGTTCAGCACCATCATGCAGACTCCTAGAGCACTCTTCATCCTGTTCCAGTTTTTCTCCTTCATCCAAACCAGCTTCAACATCAGAGTTCTCACTCTTCTCTGAATGAACAGCAGTCGCTGACGCCTCTCCCTGATTGGCCGACTGCTGTTTGGGAGCTTCCTGCTGAGCTTCATTCTCCTCCTCCTCTTCTTCAAATGGATTAGGAGCAGACATTCTGGGTCTGTTCCATGGCGTCTGGGGATTGGAGACAGTTTTGGACCGAGGGAGAGGTACTGGGGGAGGAACAGGAGGCAGCTGACTCCAAGGTCCAGGGTGCACTATGGTCATCCAGGGATGGTTGCTTTTCACTTTAGGACTGGTGCTGTTTAACATGAGGAGAGAGAAAACAGGTGATGTCAGAGGTTTGCTCTCATACTATTTCAATGTTTCCTGTTTAAAGCAGCAGCTCGTACTCAAAGTTATCCTTTTACTTCCTCATCTCTGCCTTTGAGGCCTGTTTATAGAAAAGCAACCTACAGCCTCACTGGATGTTTACATTAGAATAAAAGGAAGGAAAAGGATTTTCACCGTGAAGGGTTTCCTTTTTAATAGCTCAGGAGTCTTTGTAAGGTTTAACCCTTTATAGGGCACTCAGTGAAATAGTTTGAAATCTAAATTTAAAGCCAATAGTGGTATTGAAATCCAGGACAAGAGCTTTTTACCTTTGAAACCTTCAAAGAATATGGATATTTTGATGGCAAAAATGAATGTCAGAGTACCGGTAATAACAAGAAACGCCAACTTGCCCGAATATGTCAAGAAAAATAACAAAAGTGCTTCTATAAGAAATTCATGAAAAACACTCTGGGAGTGAAAGAAACATTTTTTTTTTTTTGGTACAACATAACCTTAGAGGCATTAATGCTGATACTGGCACTGACACTTTTTAGTTTATAAACCTAAATATAACTGTTAACCAGGCTTATTAACTTTTTAACTTTTCAATTAGCTTTTTACCTTTTTTTATTAACTTAACTTTTTTTTTCAAACTTGATTTACGGTAGGTAAAATATCATTCAAAGGCTCATGTAATTGGTAAAATACCAAAATAAGATGTACAGCCATGTAGCAGCATCTTTGCTGAAAGGCTGGATATAGATCTAGTGCTGGGGCTCCATTTGTAAGGGTTAAACGAGTTTAAAAAATGACTTACCTATATAATAACTTGACCTATAAAGGTCTTATAAACTATAAACTGGATGTGCTCCTAACACAACCTCCTGATCCTCCTAATCTCACATCTGTGAAACTCTCGAGCATCACAGAGGAAGAGCTCCTGGTTGTTCGTCCATCAACTTTAACCTGCCTGTTCTAATATAACAGGACTTAGAAGAGAGTCTGAACTGATTGAAGATTGTCTTGAGCTGAGTTCTCAGAGCAGTTTTTCCAAAAAGCAGGACTCGACCAAGTCAGCCAGGTGCAGTCGCCTTGTTTAAACCATTGATGCAAAAATGTTCATGTTAGATTGGACTCTAAGGTAGAGATGGATCAATATAACAGCTGAAAGATATTTTTTTTTCTTGTACTGGCCGATAAATGCACATGCTCATGGATTCATCAGTGCATTCAGCAGCCAAGCTTTGAGATCAGGTGAAGAGCGGCATGGCTGCTCCCTCCGTTTTCTATCCACTGGTAATCTTTTGTTTCATTTGGTAATTTCTGCTTCTTTTTTGTCTACTCTGAGACTTGTGTAAAATTTGTTATCATTGTGTCATTTTTACCATGTAAAATGAGGAAGAAAAGCAATGTGAGCTTTTAAGGTATTTCAATATATCTAAAGCTAATTTTGTGAATACTTTCATTGCCCAATTTAATGAAAAATAAAATCCTAAAGGTATAGTGGAGGATGTTCTTTTTCTGGGTGGATCATCATAATAAGTGGTCCTCCTAATTGCCAATCATTCTGCTGATATGTTTACGTAAGGCCGTCCTATGTGCTTGTCCCCCTTTTCACTAACCGGTGGCAAGTCTGACACACTGCAATGGAAAATTTGTAAACTGAAAGTAAGGCTGTATGAGTAATGCATGCACTAGGAGAAATGGGCTCCTGCATGCTCTAACACACGTTTAGTAGAGGTACAGGGTTATGCATGTGCATTACTTCCTATATTGAAGAGTGGTTCTTTGCATCCATATCTGTTTTTATTAAAGCTTCTCCCCCTGTCCTCAGCAGATGTTTGTAAATTCTCTGCTTTAGAAGACTGTAACTTTCATTTTCTCCTCTCACTTCCTGTTGCAAACCGCTTGCCCAATTCAGAAACAGGTGATAAAACTCATTGAAATAACCTGAGACCTGATGAAAAACTGTTTTTTAATTACATTTCCCCCTGATTCAAAAAAATAAGTTGTGTAGAAAATAATCTAAATAATTTTTCACCTTATTTTGTTTAAGTTTAATAGAAATATATATATATTCAAAAATTCTCATTCTTACAATGAATATTAATCATTAAGATGATCCTTTTACTGAGTTATGAGACACATTTAGGTTTTGCTGTTTAATAAGACTGTTTGGTTTATCAAATCCAGAGTCATTTTAAATAGACAATGGCTTTGATCTGTTTAAAGATCCCATAAAATCCACATGATTTTTTAAAAACAATCTCAGATTAGATGTAAAACAGAACCTACACGATGCTGGTTTTATCTCCTGATTGATCAGTGAAGTTTTTTCACTATAGCGCCTGGAAAAAATGCATTTCAAAGCAAAGACCAGCGTCTTATTACAAAAAAATATACTCTGTAGCTAAATTATCGTCTCAATTTTTAAGACTATTGTTTAATCACAATGCTAAGATCGCAATGTGCTAAAAAGACTAATAGCTCCCTCAGTCTCATCTCGTTACAATCAAACTTTTAGATGCATTCGCTGCAAATCAGATCAATTGGTTAAAAGAGCTAGATCCAAAACTAAAACTAAAAACTACTCCTGATTTCATTAGGGGAGTTAAAGTATCTATGAGTCTTGTTTATGATTGAGGGGAGAACGGAGCAGGTGATCGACAGATGGATCAGTGTGACTGGTGCAGTATGCTGCCCCAGTCCGTTCTGATGAAGAGAGGGATTTTTGGCCCTGCTCCTAATTTACAGGTCGGCCTTCGGTCAGGAAATCTGGGTCATGACTGAAAGTAGCTAAGACAGCATCCATTCACGTTCTCCTGATTATTCCATCAGGGTCACGGTGGGGCTGGTGGCTTTGTCCGGCAGTCGCTGGGCAAGGGGCGGGGTGCACCCTGGACAGGTTGCCAGTCTGTCACAGGGCAACACAGAGACACACAATCATACACACACAAACTCACACACACACACCTAAGGAGGCCGGGGACACCCTTAGAGACCCTTTGAAACAGAAAAAATAACAGACTAAATATATGTGTGGGGAGGTAGTGAGGCCCTGGTGACATTTGAGAGTCCTAAAGATTTAAAGAAAACTTAAACTAGCTGAATTTCTTTAGTTAATGTTCAGATTATTATTCTAACTTAACTGTTGATTTAATCTGTTTATCAAATTTAACATAATGTTTAAAAAAATTCCAGAAATTCTAATTATGTTTATTATTTATCTTTTTAATTTAGATTTTACAATTTCATACTTTTTAGATAATATTTTCATACATAATTTTTCAGAATTTTATTTTATCTATTTATTCATTTTTTCATTTTGTTAGTGTTTTAGTCAAGACCTCACCAACCGAGACCAAGAAGTAATACCTTCTATGGTCTCGGCCTTGTCTCAGTCCCTGTTCTCCTATAACTATACCCACTATAACTGACTATAACACTACATTTCATAAATTCTATTTATCAGATCCTTCGCTTTCGGTCCTCTTTGTTTTTGAAATATTATTTAAATATTCTTGGATTATGATATTATTGTTTTTAAACATATTTTGCATATCTATGCCTCTTTTTTACATTTGCAAAACCTGTCAGTTTTTTCAATTTGGTTTAATTGAATAAAGATTTCCTGCCCTCCAACTGCTTTAACTTCTGCTGGCCTGTATCACTATAATTCTAGTATGGCTGAAACAGTTAATCGATTCAGTAATTGATAAATCGTTAACTGGACTGTAGAGGCTCTAAAATATGCCTTTAGCTGACAGAGCAACCTACTTAAAGCAGTAATCATACTAAAATTGTTAGAAAACATATGTAAACATTTTGCATTTAAGATAAAAATCTTTTTTGTCTGTCAATCTGCTCTATCCAAAACTCCTCGAGTGGAAAATGTTTAGTTTCACCTGGTTTAATTTCGCAAAACGTTTCCTTCAGGGAACCTTTTGCCATCTGATTATTAATCGATTAATTGAAAAAATAATTGACAGATTAATAGATTTGTAAAATTGTCATTAGCTGCAGATCTAAATTTGACCATTATTATTTCTGACGTTCCTCTCTCCATCCTCTGGAATGATACCGATCCCTCATTTTGGTCACGACTGCAGATATTTTTGTGTGCAACTTTGCACATGACATTCAGAAGTACTAAAAAAAAGATGCAAAAACAGCAACCTCACTGGAATTTTTGATCTTGAAAAATCTCTGCTTGGGTAGATGTTTACATTTGCATATCCTCCACTCATAAATCTGCACAATTTGGTCATTACATTAAGGATACTGATGAAGGCACAGATCTAAAAAAAAAAAAAAAAAAAATGCATCATCCTTTGACATGTTTGTGTCTGTTTTAAGACGTGAAAACGTTTTGAAAATTAGCCCTCTGTGTTGCATTTAACTGAAAGAAAAGTTTTCTGTAAATAAAAACGGACTGAAATCAGATAATAAATGATGAAAATTAGTTACTAGAAGTTTTTAGCTCTTTATCCAAAATAAATGCGAACTTAAACATGTATAAAATATAAAGGTTTGAATTGTTCTTCCTATCATGATTTGCATGAAAGGTTCTAGCCCACTTACATATGTTACTAGAGATAACTCAGGTTTAGCTGCCCTTTCTGTCTTTCACAGTCTAATTTATGCGCATTTCATATGATAAAAGCAGCTGCCATACATCTGGGAACTGATATAAGTAGATCAAAGTGATCTTAATAACATTGTGTTTGTGCAACCAAAATAAATTGCTTCAGTACACTTACATGCGGGAAGGATGAGGTGAAGATTCACTCTGGATTTCTGATTCCAAACAGAGAAAAGATGAAAACAAAACATTTCATTTATCTTTATCTTAGATTCTGACATGAGCCAGATAGATATGGAAAGATTAGGCCACTACAGTAAAACAGTATTGTTTACCTGCAGCAGGGGAGCTGCCCATTGTTTGGGTGGTTCTGGACCTGGGTGCAGGAACAGGAAGCCCAGGGGAGTCTGCACATTTTCTGGGAGTGGGGGCAGGATATGCACCCCCCTCAGTCCCTTGTGTGGAGCTTAAGGAGAGTTCAGAGGTCTTTGACAGTGCTTTTTGTCCCTTGCTATCCTCCACAGTCTGCTCTAAATCACCGGGATGTAGAGGATGAGGATTTTCCCTGTTTTTCCCCTGCAGCCTCTGAGTCTCCTCATTTTGGTGTGTTTTAGAAACCAGTTTGTCCCGTGACTCTGCCCTCGGAGCATAACGAGGCACGCTGCAGATAGCCAACCCACTCAGAGAGTAAACAACTGTCTGGGATGGATGATCAGGCTGTTTATCAGCTGATCTGAAATTCCTGTTGCTATCGACACCAGCAGCTTTGCTGTCTGTTACATGGTGAGTGCAGACGAATGACGTCGTATCCCTCCCCTGAGTATAACAGCCGGGTAACAGAACACAGCTGCAAATTTTGCACCTGAAACAAAAGTGAAAATATTAAAAGTTCTGCAGAATAACTATGTTATTAAAGGGATCATTCAACCTGCAGCCAAAATTTACTTCTCTATGGAAGACTGAAGCACCGCCTTACAAAAGATTAATCTGAATTACATTTTTTACACCTTTGCAACATTAGATTAACAAATATAATTCCATCGTGATTTTTAAAAATAGACCAACATACAATATTATATTACTCTGAAGTGAAAGACAATAAAAGAAAAAGAAAATCTGTTGGAATCACTTGTTTTCAAAAGCCTCCCTATAAACAAACTGGCTAATAAGCTAGGAGAGAAGCTATGAAAAAACAACAACATTAAAGTATTCCTGTTTGCAGGTCCAGTCATGAACAAAAAAGCATGTAGAACATGTAAAAGAATGTGCTCTCTTTAAGTTGCACTAACATCCTTGTTTTGGGCAACATTCCAGGTGTTTTGGAAAAACTAATTTGCACACTACCCTGAATGCATCATTCCCCCTCAATAAACATGACGATGGCAGCATGATGCTGCGGGGATGCTTTTCTTGCGGAGCTGTAGGAAAATGGGGGAAAGTTGATTGGTATATGAAAAGAGCTAAATAAATTGTGTTCCTGGTGAAAAAAAGACAATAAAGAGGAGAGGAGATTATGTTTCCAGCAGGGAAACAACCCCAAACTACTTAAGATAATAGCCTTTCCCTGCATTAGAATGGCCTAATCAAAGTCAAGAAAATAAAAAATAAATAAAAAACATGCACTAACTACTGATTGTTATCTGCAAAAATGTTGGTCGCCAAATGATTTTTGTAAAAAGAATATTAAAAAGCCATTTCCCCTGTAAATATGCATAACTACTTTATCTCTAATTAACAACCCCAAAGAAGTAAGTGTATACTTAATCACATGGGTGTAAAATAACACCACTCAGTTAAAGCAGGCGTCCCTCACCTAAAACAGCCGCGATGGTAAACCTTTCCATCAATTAGATATCTCTGTATGAGGTGAACAGGCTTCAGACATAAAGTACACACTGCCCATGCGCTTGCATTAGCACAGCCGCCTTCTCTGCTGGTTTCCAGTTCAGTCAAGCTCTGAAAGCAGAAAAGAAACCAGTCATACGGCGAAGGCAGCAGCTGAAGCTGCGACATGGGAGAAGCAGAAGCTACGAGACTCCACCTTCTGGCTTCTCAGAGTTTTATATCCCTTTGAGATGTTTAAAACGTGTGATGAACGGGATCTGGAGGGACCTGCTGAGAAGGTGACAGAGAACAGTTTGGGAAATGAAACCTGAGGGATGTTTGGAGATTCCAGTCACATGAACAGTCAATAATAAAAAATAGAAATAAAAACAAAAAGGAGGCACATAAAGCGAACTCAAAGCCACTTTGTTGAATATTGACTTATAAACAACAGTTTTTGACCAACACATGTTTTCAAAACTTTACAAACCATATGCTAGGACACACAGCATCTTACAGATGCAGTGTCAGTTCTCTGCTTGATATTCTTTTCCATTTCTTAAATACATGACTTTCAAACACTGCTGATTTGCTGAAATTAGCTTTTCTAGGCCTAAAAATGTATTTCGCTTTAACTCGACATCCCCTGATCAACTAACAGGGCTTAAAACGAGAGGGAAAAGGAGCAAACATTGAAAATAGAAACAATAAAACCCTTTAGAAAATCTGGTAAACTAAACCTAAAAGTTTAAAATTAAGTTTCTATATTAGAAATGAGAGCAGGGGGGGGAAAAAACACTTTTGGCAGTGAACTCATCAGTAGTAGGCCTACTAAGTATTTAAAATACTTAAATCAGTTAGAATTCGAATGTTACTTTTAAGTTAAGAGTATCTAAACACTTCTGAGTATTAATCAATATCTCCCCCATAGCACATATCTATTTTGCCGCCAAACATCAGGATGATAACGGAGATAAACCACTAGAGCTGAATTTTAGAACTACGGCACAAAGTGCTATTAGACGCCATTTCTATTTCAACTGAGTACTTGAGGCAAAAACAATTTCATTAAACACCTCAGGTAGGTTTTCCACTGTAAAGTACAGAAGAGGATATGTCATGCTGTGGGTCTGGAGTTGTGCTAGGTCATGAAAATACCAGATAAAAAAACAAAATAATGAATTGCCACTTTTAGCAGAATAATGATAAAAGATTTAATCAAATTAACACAGAGACAGTTCATCAGATGTAAAATTAACCTCTTCTAAAGTAATAATGAATTCAATACGGTTAAATATTTTAGATTTCAAAAGGTCATTCCAAAAAAAAGGTATTTCAAAAGGTCTTAGGATGAAATCATGCTACTGCACACAAAAAAGGTTCATTTTTAAGGTTTCAGACTTTTAGACTAAGATATGTCTGCAGTAATTAATACAGGATTTTACTAATGAATCATTAGCAAGGCAGTAATGTTACCAATCTTTAGTCTCAACCTTAATCCATCTGAAGTGTTAGACAAGGACTGGTGAGCCGAAAGCCCAGAACTGAAACTACTGCCGGTGCTCCAGCACAGGGAGGTCAGCCCTGATACGGGAACAAGGGTTTGAATTCCTGCTCCAAACTGAGAAATGTGATATCTAACTACTAACCTTAATAAATAGTATGACAGTATTTTTTTTTTAAAGTTTGTAAAGTTCTTTGAACTTTGAATTGGTGAATGAAAGGCTGGGGTAGTCGTGGTCTGTTTTCTTACTCAACTGTACCTCACAAAAATCCATTTGAACTGCAGAACTGTGGGCTGTTTCACTTCAACAATCGTAAAGCAATACATACTATGAAAGCTAAATGACCAGAAAAAAATGGGTTTCTCTCAACAAACCATGAGACTTTGCACTGAAGAAGTTGTAGTAATGAGAAACGTAGGTAATGACACTCAGAAAATCCGGCATGGTGGTAGAAACCATGTCCTTTGGGTCCAGCAGAGGAGGGATTCCCAGCTTTGTTTCTGCAACCTCAAAAGCCTATAGATTCAAGAGGTTAGATCAGTTTCTAGTACTACTAAAGGGAATATCAAACACAATACTGCCTGAGAAATTCATACAAGTTTATGTCAAAACATGGATGCAAATGACTCACCAGCTTGTTATTCTGATAAACATTTTCTCTGGAGAGAGAGCTGAAATCTCTGAAGTTAAGAGAGAGGAATAGATGGAGATTACAAAAAACTGACAGAAGATTTCAAACAAAAAGGTTTAACATCAATATAAACCAGCTACATTTATGAATGGCAGATTACAAGTTTTAAAAGACTGGAGGTTAGCAATGGTATGATGCATTAAAATAGTGTTCACGCGCTGTGACTGAACCAACATCATAATGAACAAAAATGACACAAACCTGCGAGCAATCTGTCTACCTGAGCTAGCAGGTGGCAACTGTGATTATAAAATTGTTAGAGTTGGACTCAACAAATTTCGGGGAATGGCCAAAAGACAGCTAAAAGCAAAGCCCTAAGATGTTCAAAGATTATATTCTATACCCTTCGTGTGCCGGAGAGCCAGCACACCACATCACCTCATGCAAAATCTCTTTATATTGGGGATAGATAGAAGGAAGATAAAAGGAGTACAAGGCAATCCTGGAAGAAAACCTGTTGAATTCCAGAACGATGAGGAGGTTCATCTTTCTTTAGGATAATGAGCGAAAACTTACAGCCAGAGCAGAATGGATCAAGGCTTAGTGAAAAACCCCACAGTCACTGTATGGCAGGACTTTTATGTTCTGCACAGATTACTCTCCACCAGATTGGAGATCCATTAAGAGAATTAACAACAAGTTGGATAAAATATTTTAGTTATAGTTGTGTGTTTTTTTTATAGTGTGAATATTTAAGAGGAATGAGTATTTTTAGGAAGTGCTTTAGAAATCAGATGATCCCTTTACAGAAAGTTGACCTGAAAAGGATTAAGGATTAATCTAACGAGGACAGCAGATTAGTCTCCACAGCATAGTGTTGCAATCTCATTCCGTTTATTTTAAATCTAAATGAAGAGTTTCCAGTCAGGAGAAGGCATCAATCTATGAAAAGTTCAAGCTCCAGCGCAGCTAAACGACTGAAACCTTTGGTCTACTTACATCAGGTCGGGTCGATGTTTGTGGATGATGGCACAAAACGCCAGCCCATCCCTGAATGAGCCTGACATGTTCTTTATTTCCACAGCGGGGTAACCAGCGCATGTGACGCGGCACCACTCCAGCAGAGCCTTCGGTGATGCCATTTCTTCCGCAACTTTCAGGTGTGGAGGGGATCAGCATTGCCTTTTACGGGTCGGGCATCAAACAAACAAGCAGAGCCGCGTTGGTTTGGTGAAGAGAACAGGAAACGATGATCATCTTTCAAACTGCAAAACCGCTGCAGCTTCTGCTGCGACTCCACTAACCAGGATACAAGAGAGGATTTTTTTTCATTACAACTAAACGTGCATCTTCACATAAAAACATCTGGATGGTTTTTAGCCATAAGCAAAGTTAAAGAAGGAGTTTTTTTTCTCACTCACCAAACCGCAGACTCGGTTTTTCACCAAAAAAAACAACCAGGGAGCTCGATGGGAGGAGATCTATGGTTCGAAATATACCCACTTCTACGATTCCTCCTTAAAAACTTCCCAAAGTAGCTGTTAAAGTGAAATAAATAAAATAAAATACAGCGACTGGATCGCTCCACCTTGTGCTCGACTGTGTCTATGAAATACCACCGCCAGAGGGAGACATAGAGCTGCTCCACTTCTATAATTAGGAAGCAGAGGTTTCCAGTTACAATATTATTATCAGCATCATGGGGCACATGCTTTCTATTTCACAGATAAATATGTGTTGTTTAACTTCTCAATTTTTTTTTATTAAATGCTTTATCTTTATTTTGTTTAAGATGTCATCAAGTTAAATATGTGTTGTTTAACTTCTCAAATTTTTTTATTACATGCTTTATCTTTATTTTGTTTAAGATGTCATCAAGTTTTAAATTAATTCAGATTGAGTAAATAGGATCTATTCCTTTTTTTTTTAACATATCTTTATTTCGTTTTCCAACTTATACAGGCAACAAAACCCCACACAGTGAAAGACAGGAAAAATGAAATAAATGAAAATAAGTACCGGTAAGTCATAAATAAAACTAAATCAGGAAAACCTGTAACAATATGGTCTAAAAAGAATAACATAGCTAGTACAGAAAGAAAAAAAAAAACAATACAAAAACATGTAACAACATTAAAGCTCAGATTATTTAATCAATTAAAAGGATACATAAGCAGATATCCAGGCATTACAGTTTCACTATAATAACTGGTTGAATACACTCTCAAGTATAGTTCCCTCCAGGAATCTTAGACCAGAAAAGTCCATAGAGTCCCTTCTGTATGGTCCATTCACTCTCTATGCCAATGTAATCTAAGAATGGATCCCATGTTTTGTGAAATAACAGAGGTTTGTCCTTAAGGCAGTGAGTCATTGCCTACAAGGGAATTAGTTCCTTCACACTCTGCAACCACTGTGGAAGAGCAGGAGGTTTGTTAGAGATCCATTGAAGAAGAACACACCGTCTGGCACCAAATAGAAGAACATCTAGCAGTCTCCGCATACAAGAATTTAAGTTCAGTGCAGGATGTAAACCAAGGATACAAGACAATAGCATCTATTCTAATGGGCTTTGACTGGGCCATTAACATCCTGAGTTGAATCGAACCTCTTTAACCATCTCTTTTCTCTGCTAAAAATAAATAAATAAAAATAAACAAAGAAAAAACCCCACATCCAAATATTTTCCAATAATGATAATTATTATTATTTATTGCATGCAGTAGTAACCTACAAGTTGCACGTCTGTTCAGTGAGTATTCAATGTTTCAAGTCTAATCTAATGAAATGCAAGAAAAAAGGACTCATAAATATCTTTGCTCTGTAACTATGTGAACAGGGTGCACCTCTTTTATCTGATAAATCTATAATCTTAATTTAATAATTTGTGTTGAACAAGTTGATTAATCTGTCTACTGTATGTGCATGTTTCTGTTTGTTTCTTTAGATGAATCTCAATTTGATTTGTGTATGAAAGTCTTTGAGCATCTATACGATTTAAATACAGTTTTATTTAAACAATGAGCTATATTTGCTTCATGTAACACGATAAATATTTCTCTATCAAAGTAAACAAAAAAACTGAATTAATAGAAACTTTTCAACATTTTTATTACTGTCTATTAATGTAATTTGTAAAATAATTTTTATTGTGGCATCTATTTCATTATTTGATTTATTTGTCAAAAGCGGCTTAATGTGTGTCTTTATTTCAATAGGATAACTTTTTCTCTGTCAGTCCTAACTAAAGACCAGTTTTGGTGATTGCACTACAGAGATTTTACCTGATGATATATCATCCTACCTGAGTGTTGGCTCACTACAGCTCCTCCATAGGCCTTTGGTTGCTTTCCTGATTATTTAACCAAAATTCTGCAGTTATAGAAAAAGTACTTATTGGATTGATATCCACTTTAATGCAAATGTGGCATAAGTTTTGTTTCTGTGTATTGCTACAAGTAGTTTTCTAATAAAATTATCTATAAATGTAATTAGCAGGTTATAATTGGGTTCTTCTTCTTGTTGTGTTTTATGGCAGTTTGGAAACTAGTTTAAGTGCATTACCACCACCAACTGATAAGGAGTTAAACGAGGAAACAGGAAACAAGACTCACCCCCAGACATTTTTTTTAATGAAAAAACATAATAAAATAAAATAATAGTTTTGCAAACTGTATGTTTTAACCCAACATGATGAAATACATAATCAATTATAATTACTAATCTGTCTCTATGTTTATGTCACTTAAAAGTATTTTTCCCATCATACTTTCAACCGTTTTCAAGCTTAAATCTTTTACTTCGAGGTATCTTTCTGCAGTTTTCATGGTATTATTTAGATTTTTTTCGGTTTTCTTTGTCGTCTCAGCACTACAATCAATTACTTCTACAATAAAAAGTACACAATCCTTCTTTTTAAGAATCAATGAGTTTTCTGCAATTTGGGGGCACTCTTCCAGAGGGTTTGAACTCTTTTGGGCCTTATATTTGGGTTATATAGTACTTTTTTTTTGCGTGTGTGTGTGTGTGTTTGTATATATATATATATATATATATATATATATATATATATTTATTTTTTTTTTTAACAATGAAAGCATTTATAAATAAACAATCTAATCCCTTGTGTAGAGTGTAAGATTATTTCAAATCTTTCAAATGTGTTCCGTCTCTCCTCACCTCCTACGTCACTTCCGTCTTTGCTCGACGTAACCTTACGTACATCTCGCAGTGATGGCTGCGCCGCCCGATACGGAGAGTTTGGAGTCTCGTATCAGTAAGTCTTTTAAACAAATCCCTCCGAGTCGGTGTTGCCTGGGTTTAAGGACGGAAAGTAATTATCATCCGTAAGCGGTGGAGGAATTAGCAGCTCTTTTCAGCCTTAGCTGGAGCAGGAATAGGAGCTCAAAGCCTGCCGCCACCTCCAGGATGCTAACCTATAGCTGCCAGCTGTCAACACTCTGACAGGCGTAGTTTAGCTTCACCGCGACAGCTACTACCGGCCATTAGGGCAGAGTTTTTAATTATACTGATGTTACAAATGGTAACAGCTGCTGTTTTTATGTTGTAGTAGAAAAGACTACACCTGCTGACAGAAAGCTAGCTACAGTGACACTGTTAGCAGCTGAGGTAGACTCACCTACACGATGACAAGCTGGGATGATTTTTCAGTTGAAGGGTCACGCGGCTAGCAGTGGAAGCTTTTGGGCTGTCTTTCTTGCTAACTTCATATTTACACATATTTTTATTGGAATTAACATTTTTTTGTGTTTTTCTTTTCTAAATGGCAAAATCTAGCCTGCATCTGGCTTTTTGTTTCTTACCAAATGTTAATTATTTAAGCATTAATATAGTTTTATTCTAAATAATATGTTATCATTCTTGCAAATCATTATTTTGATTTGCATGGCGATAAGCTGATGATTTATTTACATAAAGAAGGAGAGGGGGTATAAAAAATTTTACTTCTTTATACCACTTTTTAGACAATTTGCATTAATGGATGTCAGTTCTCTGGCTGTATATGCCAACAGTTTTTTTGTGGTGGAGATTTTTGTTTCTATTTATGTTCAGATAAATTTAGTTAGCTTGGAAATTGGTGTGTGGTTTGTTTTGATGGGTTTTATTTTATGTGTATTTGGTTGAATCATTTATTGTTGGTCTGAAATTGTCCGAAAAAAAGAAATCCTTTACATAAAGATAGTTTGATAGAAGGAATTACAATAAAATATCTTCTGTATAAACAAATATATATTTTTGTCTGAAATGCAACCTTAATATAACCAAATTCACAAAAGTTGTGGTGTTTTGTTCAGCTCACCTCCTAATCCTGTTTTGTTCATCTTTGTTGACTTTTCAGACAGAGCCACAAATCCACTGAACAGAGACACAGACTGGAGCAGCATTAATGCCTTCTGTGAACAGCTCAACAATGATTTGGAGGGGTAAGACGAGACTCTAAAGGCCACAGGGATGTTTGCAAGCTGGCTATTGCAGTTTATTTATTGGGAATCAAAGTGGAAATTTATACAAACTGAGGATTTCCATGTATTGCTTGAGGGAGAAATAAACATGGATTTAGATTTCTGATATTAAAATATAAGTAATTTTAGGTGTCCTTTTTCATAATTGGTTACAATAAAACCAATGCAACTTGTAGGGCATATTATGTGATCGTCCAACATGAGTCCATTATTGTGAAAAGTATAAAAAGTGAATAATGGTTTTGATTAGGGCTGAAACAATTTATTGGATAATTGTGATTAATTGATATTGAAAAAAATCCTGAACTAATTTAGTAATCGATTAATCATCAACTGGATTACAGAGACTCTAAAACATCATTTAAGCTGAAAGAGCAACCTAGCTAGAGCAGTAATTATACCAAAATTGAAAAAAAAAAAAGATCAAATATCTGGCCCTTAAAATAAAAATAAAGAAACGGTTTCCTCTGTTAACATGCTCTATCCAGAGCTCTTCAGCTGGAACATTGTTTTGGTTGACCTGGTTTAATTCTTTTAAAAAAATCGTCTTTAAGGAACCTTTAGCCATTTGATTATTAATCTATTTTTCGTTAAAAATAATCGACAGATCAATCTATTAGCAAAATAACCGTTACTTGCAGCCCTAGTTTTGATATTGTTTTTACAAATAAAATTCGAATGCATTTGGTGTGCATTTGTGTTCAGCCCCGCTGAGCAACCCTTTAACTTGCACTCCTTCAGGCCATGTCTCTATGGCTACGTTATCACTGCACGCCTTAATGCTCAAATCTGCTCAGATTTTCAGGAATCTGATTTTCTTTTCTGGTCGTTTCCCTTACTTTACAATGTTGCCTATATCTGACTAGGGTGAGCTGCTTGCTACTCCAAACTGACCTGCATGTTTATAACAACAATAAGAGTGTTATCAGACATAGCACAACAGTAAACACTAAGAAATAGGTGTTATGATTTAATGCACAACAGAAACCATTTAATATGTCACCTGGAAACGCATAAATAAAAGAGGAGAAAAAATAGTTGTGGTATCTTAGGGAGATCTTAGTCCGATGTAGCATAACACAATGTTTGCATGCAGAGGCGCTGCCAGGAATGGTTTGACAGG